GGGGGGGGGGGGGGGGGGGGGGTATAAGAGTGATTATTCTCTTATCAATCCCTTGAATGAGACTAAAATCATGTGAAATATGATGCCCAATCAAATTATTATATGCTGAAGGCATAATGAAAAATGATGGTAAGCAAAGAACTTCAAAGACCTGATAATCAAATCAGAAGGCACCTAAACCTCCATCTTAACCTTCATATCCCCATTTGGTAACATACTTTGTGCTTGCGCTATCCTTTTTGTTTCCTGCATTTGTTGCAACAAGATTAAAATTTGAGCCCAATAACAGAAAAAAATTATAAATAATGGACTCTTACGGCAAAATCTTGATGAATAACCTGAAAGTTAAAAAATAATAACAATAAAGAAAATAAATGAACCAAAAACTAAATCAAGAGTTTTCTCTAAGATGCATACTTATGTCTGTTCTTGTTATAATTGATTCCCTGGTCAAACAACCTCACAACATAGCTGTTTAACAGAAGTAGAAGTTTTTGGCTTTCCAAACTCAGACATGGCATGGGCTGTCCAAAGCAGAGGTTCTGCTAGGATTTGAGTTACTATCCCAAAGTGCAAACACTGGACAATACCAAAATCATTCCCCCCTCTAAGCTCCCTACCTCCCTCTATTTTATAACCAAGGCACTTGCAACTAATTCCCACTATGACCTTACTAATATTCCCAGCACAACCCTTACAAGTACTCTCACAATAAATAAATTAGTCATTGGTTAATGAGAATACTAGAAAGGGCTGGTTATAACTAGTGAGTGAGGAAAATTTAGAATTAAGTGATCGCTTGGAAAATTTGTGCAGGGAGAGTAATCTAGAAAGACTATTACAGGTTTATTCCACTTTGATATTGCAATAAATTTTCATCTCCAATCAATTTTTTTTGTATCAAACTGTGAGATCTCACATCGGTTGAGGAGGGAAACGAAGCATTACTTATAACGGTGTTGAAACATCTCCCTAGTAGACACGTAATAGAGAAGTCTAGAAGGGAAAGCCCAAAAACCTTGAGGGGAAGCCTGAAAAGGAAAGCCCAAAGAGGACAGTATCTGAATTAGTATCGTTCCGTTGCGTAACTTTGAAAGAGACATTTTAAAATCGTGAGGCTGACGGCATACGTAATGGGCCAAAGCGGACAATATCTACTAGCGGTAGGCTTGGGCCGTTACACAAACAAACTTGCAGGGAAGGATCCATGCTTATTCTGATTTATAATGTCTTTATACAATGTAAGTTACGTAAATCACTTACAAGGAGCAACATCACACTAAGAAGCACGGAACAAACAAAACAAGTCGATTTAAAAAAAAAAAAAAAAAACTAGGACTTGTTGGATAGAAAATATTTTTGCTAAAAGTATATATATCCAATCATTTTGAGCAAAATTTGAATGTAGAGATAAAATTGACAGCAAAAAGAAATTTCAACTCACGGCAGCAGAAGAAGCACGAATTTCTCTGTATGACTCAACTTCATCGGGAAATGTCTGCTCAAGTACCTCCAAAAGATGCTTCCGTAAACCCTGAATATAGTAAGTAGTACAACGTTCAATAAAGATTTTCGTGAACTTTTGGAAATCAAAATACAAATAAGAGATAAGTAGATTTTAAAGCCTGCCACATGGAGATTTAAAGACTACCTTGAAGGCATCAGTTCAGCCTTTTGTACTCTGATTTTTTGCAATGCAACTATTTAAGACATCCCTTGCAAATTCATCTGGATTCTTCCCAGCATCAATGAAACTAATGGAACAAAAGTAAGAACGAACAAACAATAAGTGGAAGAGTCAAAAAAAAAAAAAAGAAAAAAAAAGTTTGTAAAGCTAGAAAGACTCACTCAACAACCTCCATAGGAACCTGAATGGAACACTTCTCTGACAATTTAACCATGTTATCTAGCTCCAAAACTAGTGAATTACTGCAAAATCAAGAACAATATCACTGGTATAGAGTGGAATAAGCAGTGAACAAAGAGCGAATTATATATTAGATGAAGCAAAATTGGGCATAAAGGCGTTGTAAAAGAGGCAGCTGATAGGATACCCATAGTTTTCTGTATGGAGTTGATTACTTGGTTCAAGTTTTGCTTTGAATCATCCACGGAAGTTAATGCAGAGGTATCATTGATGACCGATCCATTGCCACCACTTCCACCAGTCCCAGCAGCTGAAGATGCATTCTGAGCTAAATCCATTACCTTCTTTTCACTTCCCAAATACCTTGGAGCTCTGAAATGCCTCTTTTGCAACGATTCAGTATAAAAGAGTTGATAATTTTCCACAATATTGCTATAACAGCCTTCTGTCTTACTTTTCCATACAAATCTATCAAAATTACAACCTTCATACCGCAAATCGAAGTACGCGAACCCTAACAAAAACGGCGCTGATAAAATCCCGAAAATCATAACAAAAATCATAACAAGCTTGAACTGGAATAGCTCCAAAGGAATGAACAGAAAATCAATCAAACAGCTTTCCCGAAATCAAACAAAAATTAATAATAAACGCCCCTACAAATCATAATTACATAAATTATGGACCGAAGAACAATATTTCGCTTAAATCAAGGAATTAAAAATTAAAGAACATAGAAACTCAATCTTACTTGTTCGAGGAGGATTGAGGAGAAAAACCAAGTGGGAGCAAGGGCGGAATGTTAACCTGTGAAGCCTGAAGCTTTGAATCCAAGAGGGATTATCCAGATGCGTGAAAGGTCTAATTGGGGCGATGACGTGGAATAGCTGATCCAATACCCTAAATTAATAAATAAATAAATAAATAAATATATATATATATACTTAAATTTGGTATTTTTAATTAAAATTCAAAATACATTTATATTTAAAAAATAATCATAAAATTATATAAAAAAAATATTAATATTCTTTAATTTTATAAATAAAAAGATATATTACTGTCTCGACATCTTTTAATATTATTTTTTAAAAAATTAAATGAATTTTTTGTAATTGGTGCTAACAATAAATATATTTTTTATTTTTTTAAAAAAGTTTATTTTTAATGGTAAGGTATAGAATCTAATAATTATTTATTTATTTGAATTTGAGCACGTGCGGTATAGCAATAAATAAGAGAACATTGTGTCGGGGCAATAATTTTTATTTAATTATTTTAAGAATCCATTAGTGGAAATTAAAGATAATATACATGTGACTCATTGGGCCATATCTTAATTATGATGAAATCCATGACATGTAGTTATTATCTACCAAAACAATAATATAATTAATATAAGTCATAAATACTTTTTTTAAAAATAATAATAAAAGTCTTTAAAGTCTAAGATTCAATTCCACGAACAAAAAAAAAAAAAAATATAATCACGTCCTTGAGATAAGCACGATTTTCTTTTTGGTTTTTTTTAGAATATAAATTTTACAAATTTCAAAATTTTTATTCGAACCATTCAATTCAATAAAAGAATATTAATATTTAAGTTGATTAGACGACTCGATGACATCTTAAAAGCCACCCTTCTTAAAAAAAAACTCTTTCAAAAAGTATAAAAAAAATTAATATGAAAAATAATAAAGAATAAAAAATATATATTAATCGGGTATTCGGCTCATCAACTCGGGTCGTGTGTTGTGACTAAAATATTTTAGTTCTGGTTTGGAAAATTAATCCACTCTACAAATTTTGACCCATTTATTATTAAAATGAGAATAATAAATAATTTAATACGTTTAAAATATATAATATACTTTTTATTAATTTTGTGTGGCCTTGAGTGTTAAGGTCTCTTGATAGAGGGTCTCGAGTGTTCTATTTTAATACTTCATCCAAAAATTATTGAATTTGTTCATATCTAATAGAACGGTATTTGATCAAATGATAAAGACATTGATAAGAAAAAGACAGTTTTCTCGAACGAAACAAAAATTGGTTTGAGGTTCTTCAAAGCCATCCTTAAAAAACTTACGTGGCATTCACACGACACGTCGTTGTCATCCCAAACTCCCAACTTCAAATTTGCCTCTAATTCCCATTACCAAACACTCTCACAATGTACACACAATCGTGTTCAGTTTGAAACCCTCAAACCCAAGAAGACGACCACATTCAATTTCGTGTTTAATTTTTCATTAAAAAAATTAAATTTGGAAAAAAAAACTCGAACGTTTGACTTGAAACGTTGTGACGATGACTTGGATTAAAAATTATATGACGATGTTTAACTATGTCGGTTTTTAATGAATTCCTATTTAAATGAAGATAAAGATAATACTTCGTAATGTTAAATTACAAATTTAACCTCTATGTCGGAAGAAAATTAGAATTAAAAATTATGATTAGATAAAATTTTATTGAATAAAAAGATTATTTTAAAAAAGGAAATTTAAAGAATATTCTTTTTTATAATTTAGCCTTAAAAAAACTTCAAAGCAAAAAACGTTGACCATATTTGCAAAATTCCAATTTTACCCCTTATCTCCATTTTTTGGCTCTATATAAAACACTACCTTCAGCTCTCCTTCTAAACTCAAAACAAAGAAGAAAATATTTATTTTCAATTTTCGAATTAAAAAAAAAAAAAATCTGTTTTTGTTCTTTTAATTCGATGGCTGAATGCAAAAACCAAAATTTTTGCGGCGCAAAAAGACCGGCCACCGGTGAAACCGACGAGAATTTGATCTCGAAGAAACCAACGGCCATGATTTCGTCTCTCCTAGAGGATCCAGCGGCTGCGATTGCAAACACGCGTCACGAATTCGGTGAGCACGGAGGGGTAAATATGTCAATTGAAGCCTCTGCCACATTCACCGTCATGGAACCGGAGACTATGCAGCGGTTGTTCGCCGGCGAGCTCGGTCCTGAACGAGACTTCTTTATCTACAGCCGTCATTTTAATCCCACCGTCTTGAATCTCAGCCGTCTAATAGCTGCTCTCGAAGGCACCGCCGCTGCCTACTGTACTGCCAGCGGAATGTCCGCCATCGCCGCTGTCTTCCTCCAGTTACTCGCAAGTGGGGACCACGTCGTAGCGGCTAGAACACTCTACGGTGGAACCCACGCTCTGTTGGCTCACTTTTTGCCGAGAACGTCGAATATAACGACGTCGTTTGTGGACATAAGTGATTTGGAAATGGTGGAGAAGGCGATTGTGGAAGGGAAGACAAAAGTGCTTTATTTTGAAGCGATTGCGAATCCGACGTTGGTGGTGGCGAACATACCGGAATTGTGTCGGATCGGACATGAAAAAGGGCTGACGGTGGTAGTTGATAATACGTTTGCGCCGATGGTTCTGTCGCCGGCAAGGCTCGGTGCTGACGTGGTTGTTCATAGTATTTCTAAGTTCATTAGCGGCGGTGCTGACATCATTGCAGGTACTGTTTCTGACATTTTGACTGTTTTATCCACGTCACCAAGAATATTTCAGATAAAAAAACGGATAATTATTTAGATTTTTAAAATTAAATTTATAAATATTCTTTTTACCATGATATAAAACGTGGATTTTTTTTTTAATTCAATCAAAATTTTAAATATTTACTCAAGAAAAATGATTTTTTTTCAAAAAAAGAAAAATTAAATAATTATTTGTTAATAATATTGTCGGAAATTAGATTAATAGAAGGTATATAGCTCAGCTGTAATTAACATGTACTCATTTTAGTCTTTAAACTTTTGAGTTTGGATGGAACGTGTAGGTGCGGTGTGCGGGCCAACGAAGCTAGTGAACTCAATGATGGATTTGCTACAGGGAGGCTTGATGCTTTTAGGACCAACCATGAATGCAAAGGTGGCATTCGAGCTCTCGGAGAGAATCCCTCACCTGAGCCTGAGGATGAAAGAGCATTGCAGAAGAGCAGCGGTGTTCGCGGAACGAATGAAGAAGTTAGGGTTGAAGGTCATATACCCCGGGCTACCAGACCATCCACAACACCAACTAATGAAGAGCCTTGGGAACTCGGAGTACGGGTGCGGGGGAATATTGTGCTTGGACATGGGGACCGAGGAAAGGGCGAACAAGCTCATGAATGTACTCCAAAACACTACACAATTTGGGTTCATAGCAGTGAGTTTAGGGTACTATGAAACTCTAATGTCGTGTTCGAGTAGTAGCACAAGTAGTGAACTGAGCGGGAATGATAAGGAATTGGCGGGAATCTCACCCGGGCTCGTAAGAATGTCCATTGGTTATATGGGGACTTTGGAGCAAAAATGGAGCCAATTTGAGAAGGCTCTAGCCAAAGTGCAAGATTTAGGGCTTCCATTTTGCAACAACATTTAATTACAAATCTTAAACCCTAATGTATACATAGTTGCTTATCAATAAGATCTTAAGGTAATAAATAATTATTTGCCATTTATTTCATAGAGCACGTGTAGATACTCGTAGGTTAGTTCTCCTTTATTTTTAGGTAACATATCCACGATATCGTCGTGATCAATCAATGGGACTTGGTCGAAAAGTGTTCTTAGATTCTTTCTAACCCTATACCGTATTTTCTTCATCTTACTGCAACCACATCGAGTTCCACCATAAGTTTTGTTCATTGTTATAACAGTTCAAGCTCACCGTTAGTAGATATTGTCCGTTTTAGCCCCCATTACATATTATCGTCAATCTCGCAGTTTTAAAACAACCCTTATAAATGTTTTGTTCTCCTCTCTAACCGATGTGGGATCTCACAATCCACCCCCCTTGAGGGCCTAACATCCTCGCTGGCACCGAGGTTTTCACACCCTTATAAATGTTTTATTCCTCTCTCTAACCGATGTGGGATCTCACAATCCACCCCCCTTAAGAGCCTCTAACGTCCTTGCTGGCACACTGTCCGGTGTTTTGCTATGATATCATTTGTAACCGCTAGTAGATATTGTCCGTTTTTGCTCTTTACATATCGTCGTCGTGTTAAGATGTGTCTACTGGGGAGATGTTTTCACATTCTTAAAAGGAATGCTTTGTTCCCCTTTCCAACCGGTGGGATCTCACAATTCTCAATAGTCCTTATTTCATTACAAATTTTAAATTAATTTCTCAAAATTGCACTTCATAGCAATTTTAACCCTAATTTAAAAATTGTTGTAATATTTTCACATCTTTAATAAGTTTTTGTTAGAAATATAGTTAAAAAAAAAAAAAATCTAATGCATTCAATAAATTAATACACATGTATTGTGAGATTCCACGACGGTTGAAGAGAGTAACGAAACATTTCTTAAAAGAGTGTAGAAACCTCTTCTTAGTAAACACGTTTTAAAATCGCGAGGTTGACGACGATACATAACAAGCTAAAACATACAATATTTACAAGCGGTAAGCTTAGACGGTACAAATGGTATTAAAGTAAGACATCGAATGATGTGTTAGCAAGAACGTTTGGGAATTGTGAGACTTTTCGTAAGATTGACGATGATACGTAATAGACCAAATGGGACAATATCAACTAACAGTTGGTTTGAAATGTTACAAATGACATCAGAGCTAGACACCAAACAGTGTGTTAGCAATGACGTTGGCCCCCAAGGGGGTAGATTGTGAGACTTATCATGAGACTGATAATGATAAGCTGTTACAAGTGGTATTAGAGCTAGACATTGGACGGTATGCTCCCAAGAGTGTAGATTGTGAGACATGTTGTTAGGACGACGACAACCCTCTAAAAAAATTTAAAAAAGAATATATAAAATTTGATAAAATTATTCAATCATTAATTGTAGTGAATTAATTAATAAAAAAATAAACAGAGGGTAAAATTATAACAAATTTTTAAATAATTTCTTTCTATTATTATTTAAATTAAAAGCATAAAATCACTTTTAAATTGGAATCTTTCACAAAAGTAGATTGGACATTATTATTATTTATTATTATTATTATTATTTTGATTTGACTTGATACCATCTTTAATAATAATACTTAAAATTTAAATAATATAAAGAGGCATGGGCAAAAAGTCTAAATTCATCTTTTTCTTTTTATTTTTTTTATAATTTTATATTAATATTATCTCTTTATTCACTTTTTATTAGCATTGATTTTAGTTGGAATTAATTTTTTAAAAGAATTACTCTCCATAATGCATCGAGATAGGCTAATAGATAAAGACGTCGAGTTTATCCCAATTTATTTAAAGTATTTTAACACATTCAGTATTGTCGGTAACTAAATTAAAAAATTTCGATATTGTCTTATATTTAAATTAGGTAATTATTAAAAAAAAATTAATAATTAAGAAATAGAGATAGATTCTGTATAGTTTAACTTATGTCGGGTCAAAAGATACAAAAATTGTGTTTGAACGATGCGTTTTACGTGTGATAAAAAAGGATCGTCCAAAATATATGGGCGAAAAAGCGATCGAAATGGATGATGGGACCATATGTCCTTAATAATTGGCATCCTACGTGCATAAATATGGCATATTGCTTGGTTTAATAATCGAAGTTTTGTCTCTCGTTATGTTTCGTTGCATTTTTTAAATGTGATTTTACATATAAGTTTGTTTAGTTTATTTTATGTTAAAGTGTTTATAGTAATGTCAAATTACATTGAATCTATAATTAAAATATTAGGTCTAATTATCATCCGTGTAGGAGGTCATTGACAATAGTTGTGGTTGCTAAAAGAGATTGCGATGGTTGTCAGGGTGGGCACGATGAGGGTGGGCGGTGGTCGTCTTTGTTTGAAATGTGTTAAAAAATGGGCATAACAATCACGGTGGCATTTTGGTCATTTTCATATATCGGGAAATTTTGAGAGAGATTATAAATAAAACATCTAAAATTCAACCTGGTATAAGGATTGTTACCGAACTTATAAGGATAATGCCCTAAAATTTCAGCTGCATAATGACGTGGCTACAATATCTACTCATTTTTCATCGTATACAACAAACAAAAATGTTAGTATTTAAATTATAAGCGTCGAAATTATTTTAAGTTATTAATTTATTAATTTTTTTGGGGGTAAAAATGGTAAGTTCTAGTTTTTTCTTTATTTATTATTCGTTTAAAATCACTATGATCTACAAAAAAAAAAAAAAAAAAAAAAAAAAAAAAAAAAAAAAAAAAAAAAAAAAAAAAAAAAAAAAAAAAAAAAAAAAAAAAAA